AAAAATGATTCCGTAAAGAAACCGTAACATTTTCTATTATTTACAAATCATTTTCAGTAAGGAGTATTTCAAATTAATCTGGAATAGGATTTTTTATCCATTCAAGATACAAAGTTTGAATTAAGAATTTATGCGCAAGGTGTCATTATGAACTAGTATTCGATAATGTATATTTCATAAATATAAAAATGTTACTTATAAGTTATATATATGCGTAATATTAAAATTATAAGTTAGATAATGATATTAAATTTCAAACATAAAGTATTATAAGTTATACTTATGCATATAATATTATAAATTTTAACTATATTGCAGCACCATTTTGGACGAGCGTTTTATTTCGTGGGATTTGATTTTTCAAAATATTTTATGTATCTTTGTAATATTCAATTTTTTTTTTCTTATTGTATGACTGAAATAGAAAATAGAGATATGAGTCATTCTTAATTCGTTGTGAAATATGTATTTATATAATATCAAAATATATTAGTATCAAAATAAAAACAAAAATATTTTGTATTTCAGGACATAAAAGGGCATTGCAGAAATGGACACTATCTAAAATGAGACATGTCAATAACATAGAGTATTTTTGCATATAAATATACATAAGAGTAACAAAATTAAATGTTATGTGTATAAATTTTGTACATTAAAATGTTAATAATATGTATCTCATGATAATATTTACCATATAAACATATATAAATAGTTTTATTTTGTAAAAAATAAAAATAACATCAAAAAAATATATATATATGGGTCGGGTCTACCGGGTTGACCAGGTCCATTCAATGCACCGGGTTGGCCGGGTTGGCGGGGTTCTGATCGTGTTTGGTCAGGTCCTTTGTTGCCCGGTCTAAATAGCACACTCGGATCGGTTCCGATTCCGAATCCACGGGTCTTGGGTCGACCTGTCGGGACGATCCGGGTAAAGAAATACTATGAACTTCCATAATAATAATAATAAATAATAATAAAAAGAAAATACTATTAATACGTGGAAAGTGAAAGAAGCAACAATATTAACGTTGTGAATAATAATAAGCGGCTGCCGTTTGTTTCACTTTAACCATAACACGTGTCCAATTATCAGCACCTTTTTCTCTTTTCGCTTCTTTTTTTCCTTGTAAAAAAAAAAAACATTAGCCACCCACCTCCAATTTATCTTCCTCTCCCTTTAAAGCCACACAACACAACCAACTCCATTACTCTACACATTCTTTCAGAAATTCTCCTCAAATCTCTCAAAAAATCCACAAATCCACCCACCAAAACACTAAAAAAAAAATAATAAATAAAAAAAAATCGACCCTCTTCTAAAAAATTCAATCTTTAATTTCCCTTTTCTTCGGATAAATACCAAAATCTCCCAATATTTTTTGCTTTGCTGGCCCAAAATCTTTGCCTGTTAAAATCTTTGCTTTTTTTTTTTTCTTTTGTTGGAGAAAAATGGAGATTTCAATTATTAGAAACTCACAAATGAATGTCGGAAAGATCAATGATGTTTGCTTTCCTAATTTGAATGCTAAGGTCTTTTGTAGTGTGAAGAACAAGTATAACAACAGCTCAAAGGGAAGTCAAAACTCTGTTTGGCCTTCGAGATCTGCCCAGGTTTTCAGACTTAGAGCATCTGCCTCTGTTCAGACACAAGTTCTTGTTTCTGAAAAAGCTTCAGAGGTTATAACCAGAACCAAGCCGGTAAGCTGCTATTTCTTGAATATTTTTTGCTCCTAATTATTTAATTTTGTCAAGGGATCTTGAAAATCGAGGGAAAAAAAATTACTTCTTATTATCGAATTCTGAAATTTAAAATTTTGTTTTAGGTGAAATTATTTAAAGTTTGAAACTTTCAAACTGATGACTTTACTCTTTTCTTGAGTAATTTTTTCAGTTACCCAATAATTTGTATCACACTTTCTTTTCTGAAGATCCTAATGGACTCTGAATAAATTTGAGCAAGTCATGAATCTAACCTCTTGCAGAATAATGCCACCAAATTATACGTGGGCCTCCCACTCGACACGGTCACCAGCTCTAACACGATAAACCACGCCCGAGCAATCTCTGCAGGGCTTAAGGCCCTCAAGTTATTGGGTGTGGCTGGTGTGGAGCTCCCCGTGTGGTGGGGCGTAGCCGAAAATGAAGGCATTGGAAATTACAACTGGACGGGTTATCTAGCTGTTGTTGAGATGGTCAAGAAATTGGGTCTTGAGGTTCGTGTGTCACTCGGTTTCCATGCGTGTAATGAAAGCAAGATAACCCTCCCGAAATGGGTTTCGAAAATTGGTGAGACGGATCCGAGTATTTTTTTTACGGATCGAACCGGACAGCGATACAAGGATTGCCTGACGTGGGCTGTGGACGATCTTCATGTATTGGATGGGAAGTCTCCAATGCAAGTGTATAAGGAGTTCTTTGAGAGTTTTAAATCTACGTTCGCGGATTACATGGGGTCGACAATCACGGTAAGGCCTTTTTATATTTATGTGAAGAAATTGTGTTTGTTTTACAAATTTAAATCTAAGTGATTCCTTATATAACTAGCGTTTCAAATGCACCAAAATAGGACAATAGTTTTCTATAATACATTTTATTCAATCAAGCTCCAAGAGTGTGTATTATATTATTCATTTGAAATCCTTGATCCTCAATTGAAAAGCATAAAAATTGTAATTTAACTTACTAGATCCATTGGGATTTGGATGGATTAGATATTTAGGATAGCAAATGAGTAGCAAAATATTTCGTCCAATGTTTTCTTGGTTAGTTTTCTTGAGTTACTTTGGGATCCAATGTAACTTACTAGATCCATTGGGATTGATATGTTCAAAATTGATGATTTCAAATAACTAATAACAAATGCATGCATTGAGATGCTTTTGTGTTTATTAATGCGACAGGGCCTAACGATAGGGCTCGGTCCAGACGGCGAGCTCCGCTACCCATCCCATCACCAGCCAATAAAATGCAGCTCCCTTGCCGGACCCGGCGAATTCCAATGCTATGATAAACACATGCTGGCCGACCTCAAGCGCCATGCCGAGCTGCACGGCCACCCGCTGTGGGGTCTCGGCGGGCCCCACGACGCCCCGGACGGCTTCTTTGACGCGTCCTGGGACACCCCATACGGTGATTTTTTCCTCTCATGGTATTCGACCCGACTCTTAGCCCATGGTGACCGGGTCCTGTCCTTGGGGGAATCGATATTTGAAAGCTCGCCAGTCGAGCTGTCGGCAAAAATTCCATTGATGCACGGGTGGTGCAAGGCCCGTTCGCACCCTTCGGAGCTGACAGCTGGATTCTACAACACGGACAACAGGGATGGGTACGGGCCCGTTTTTGAAATGTTGTCTAGAAATACGTGTGGGGCTGTGTTGTGCGGGCTGGACTTGTCGGGCCCAGAATTACTTGTCTCGCAAGTAATGGAATCTTGCGAGGCGCATGGGGTGGAAGTGTCGGGTGAGAACTCGGAGGTGTCTGGGGGTATTGAGCGGATAAAGAATAATTTGGCGGGCAGAAATGAGGTGGTCCGCTCGTTTACGTACCAGAGGATGGGGGCTCATTTCTTTTCGCCCGAGCATTTCCCGGAGTTCACACGATTCGTGAGGGGGTTGAACGAGCCGGATCGGAGTTTGGATGATCTGCCCGTGGTGGATGAAAGGAGTGTTGGGTCTTTGTCTGGTAAGAATCTAAGAATGCAGACTGCTTGAGGATGTTTATTTTGTTAATGTGTATTGTAAATAGGAGGGGTGCTACCAATTGGAAGTGTTTGTAATTGTAATATTGAAGAATGATAAAGAGATTATTAGTTAGTGTGCGGGGGGCTTTGCTTTATCAAACGAAGGATGAAATTTGTATTGTTCTCGGTAAAGGTCGTTGCGACTCCTATTGTGAACAGAATCGATGTAATGAGTTTGTGATGAGGGGCTTTGGGTAAGTGGTTTTTTT